GCTAGGCAGTCGTACCAAAGCAGCTTGGTCTGGGTGAAAGAACCCTAACCCCTAAACCCTAAACCCTACCCTAAACCCTAAACCCTAAGCCCTAAGCCCTAAACCCTAAACCCTAAAACATAAACCCTAAACCCTAAACCCTAAACCCTAAGCCCTAAACCCTAAACCCTAAACCCTAAACCCTAAACCCAAAACCCAAAACCCTAAACCCTAAACCCTATACTAAACCCTAAACCCTAACCCTAAATCCTAAACCCTGAAGCACCAACACCCCCCCCTAAACCCTGAAGTTCCCTGTAGTGGAGGAGCCCAGCCGCTGAGATCACTGGGAGCCTTCCTCTTCCTCCATCCGACGCGGGTCTGAAGGCATCGGGGGTTGCAGGGGTTTAGGGTTTGGGGTTTAGGGTTTCAGGTTTAGGGTTTAGGGCTTGGGGTTTACAGTAGGATTCAGGGTGTGGGGTTTGGGGTTTCAGGCTGATGCAAATAAGTGGCCAAACCACTGCAAGTGAGGTTGTCATGAGTGCTAGGACCCAGCGTAGGCCCTCATTCCTTTCTTTTGGGGTTTCGGTTCCCTTACTAGCCCCCTTTAATCCAAAAAGGGCACCCTTTCCATTCCTAAACCCTAAACCCTAAACCCTAAACCCTAAACCCCAAACCCCAAACCCCAAACCCCAAACCCCAAACCCCAAACCCCAAACCCCAAACCCCAAACCCCAAACCCCAAACCCCAAACCCCAAACCCCAAACCCCAAACCCTAAACCCTAAACCCTACACCCTAAACCCTAAACCATCGATTTCGAAGTCGAGCTTCGGCTCTAATAGTAGCAGCAGAACACTCAGGTCACCCGGAAATCTGGGAATGCAAGCACCGCGATGTTTGTGGATGGTCCCGGCAACCGTTTAGGGGTTTAGGGGTTTAGGGGTCTAGGGGTTTAGGGGTTTAGGGGTTTAGGGGTTTAAGGTTTAGGGTTTAGGGTTTAGGGTTTAGGGGCGTTGAGGATACTGCCCAGTGGAGTATTCTGCACACATCGTTGAAATCCAGCTCGTCCGGTCTGGGGGTCAAAGCGCCTCTGCTCTTTTGATCGCTGGATGGGCCCCATCTGCAGTCGAAGTACCCTAAACCCTAATCCGTAAACCCTAAACCCTAACCCCTAAACCCTAACCCCTAAACCCGAAACCCTAAACCCTAAACGGCTGCTGTTCACGTTCGTTGTGACATATACTCTTTGCCTTTCTCTAGCCAAGTCGCCAGGGTTTCATGAATGACAGCTGCAAGCACACATCAATGGCTCACGACGGTTGTAAGAATTCACGTTTGCAGCATATAGCATATCGAACTGAGATGGGGGCGTTCATCTGCCAACAAACAGTGATCGTTTTGAATAGGACACCCCCCCCATGCATGACTTAGCCTATCTTATATCATCAGCATTGCCCAGTTAGAGATGCGTCTGATCCCAGTGCTATCCAACGATCATCAGCGCACCGGCATTGGCAAGACACAAGGGTCGCCGGGGAACAGATGGCTGGCAGCTTGAGCGGCCTCCTGACTCGGGGCCTCTTAGGGGTACTTGGAAACTTTTTTTTTTAAATTCCTAAGAAACAGCGGAAAGGCTATGATTGTTGCTAGGGTTCCAAGTTCAGCAAGAAGGCCTCGCAGAGCAGATCTTGGACTTCATCTACCTTGACCTTCGCAGCTTGACTCGGTTTTCAGCCACCTCGAAGGAGCTTCGAAGGCACTGCGCCGAGGAGCTGCGCTTGCGCTGGCGGAGGGTGCTGCACATCGACCTCACTGCTGAGGTAGAAGTGGATGTGCCCCAAGACGTCACGGCGAATGTGTTAGAAGTCACCATCTCACGTGGCGTGGCAGATCGCTGCAACTTGCTGGGGCAGCTCCTCCAGCGTTGCACGAACTTGCAGCACATACACTTGCAGCTGGTTCCGGATCCAGGGTGGCTCCTGGTAGATCGGGCCCAAAGCATGGACGACGATGAGCTGCTGGAATTTCTGGAGGCCGCAGAGGTGTCCCAGGGGGACAGCGTTGCGTTGCTCTATGCCAAGCTGTGGCTCGGATGCCCAGTAGTAGCCTTATTCCCTTTTTGGGGGGTTTAGGTTCCCTTATAAACCCCTTTAAGCAAAAAAGGGCACCCTTTTTAAGCCTTGGTTACTGGGCAGCCTAGGTGGAGAAGGTGTGATCATGGGCGCAGAGGGCTTGATCACCTCGATGGTTGCCTCCACTCGATACTCTCTGCCCTGCGTGAGGATTCCTGGTGTCCAGACTTCTGCAGCGTGTCCATTTTCGGGCTGCTCGAATCGGTGCATCTTGGAGACCACCTCGAGATGTGGCTGTTTAGGTTGCGCCACCCTGCAGGGAGACGTGGCTTGATGAGGGGCACACACATGCATCTCGTCTTTATGAACGAGGATGGTGTTTCGTCTGCGGCCCAATGGCGCAAGGCGCAGGCCTTCTCAGGCTCGATGTACGTGGGTCGCCCTGACCGGGTCGCGAATTGGGCGTTCGCCTACGCGCTTCCGGATTTGAGGGTGCAAGCCCGAGCAAGTCCTTTTGTCAGCTACTACAATGCAGGCGGCGAGGAGGACTCGGGCTCATTCGAATGTTCTGTCCAGGTTCCTGGTATCTTCACCCTCTTTGCACGTTTTGCTGGCGTCGGGTTTGCGTACAGATTTCTCCAAAGCAACCCTGAGCACGGACAGAGTATGGCTTGGGAGGGAGCTCGTGTCTTTTACGGAGACGTTACTGAAGCTTGGTAGCCCGGTGGTACCCTTTAAGCCCTTTTGTTGTTTTAGGCTCCCTTTTAAAGTAACCAGCCCCCATGGTTGTGGTTAGCCTCCTGCCAAGGAAGACATACCTCGCATAAGGGAGCTTGCCGGCGGCTTGGAAGGGCAGGAGGACGAGGAGAGCGAGGTTGCCAGCGACTTCTCGGATTTCAACGAGGATCCTAGGTAGGATAAGGGGGACCCTTAAATGGGAACCTCTTCTTAACCCCTCTTCTGGCTCTCTTAAACAGGGACCTTATTCAGAGGGTCTATATCCCCAAGGGTCCCCCTAATCCTCTCCCCTGGAGGAGGAGCTTGCCGCGCGTGATCTGGGAGTCCGTGCTTCCTTGGGCTGTGGGCATGGCATCGCGACTCCTCGTTTCTTCTTGCCTGACTTTGCAGCTTGGTAGCCCAGAGAGGTACCCTTTACACCCTTTTTTTGGTTATGGGTTCCCTTATAAAATGACCCGCCCAAAAAGGTTGCCCTTATTGTAATATGGTTCCTGGGCTACCAAGGCAGGCAATGACGGTGAGGCGCAGCAGGCAGTTCGAAACTCTGAGTTGGCTCCTATATCCCCCTTGGGAAGTATTTATAGTTTTGTTTATATAAAACGCAAGAGGATATGAAAATAGTGTTGTTATTGAGGTTCCAAAGGGGAGTATAGGCTCATCTCTCCCCAGCGCAACCCGGTCTTGCAGCGCAGACGTGGAAGGAGCTGGCTGGTATCGCAGTCGGCCAACCTGATATCAAGTGGCTTGGACGCGTCGTTTTTGGGCCATGGTGTGAGTCAGCCTCGCGTCGCTATTGGAACGACTTCCGGATCATCCATGCTGGAGAAGTGACCAACTTGCGGGACACGGGACACCAGATGCGTTTTGGAGAGAAGTGCATGAAGTATGGGAGCATTGATATATGCATCCGAGCGCTGAGCCAATGGCCCGAAGGTCAGCAAGTTGGTTATCATGGTGTTTTGGACCTGTTCATGGAGGCCAGGTGTGTGAGATCGTTCAATCACTACTGGCCCAAGCTTGCGTATTTTCTTGAAGCTCAACATTACGCAAAGTGGGTGCAGCCTCACACCAGCGTTTGCCGGCAACATGCTGCAAATTCCCTTTTGGCCCGCTTTTCCAGCCTGGACATCAGAGATGCTGGCGTTGCGGAAGTGATCCGCAAGTGCCGCGAGGTGCTGTTGGCAGAGCCTACCGTCACAGGCGGCATTCACTCGGCCCTGGCCGGCACCCTGACAGTATGGGAGGACTTGTTCGGGCGTTTCAGCAACCGCGGGAGGGAAGGCCTTCAGGCGTATGACTGGATGCTGAGGCATGGGCCCGTGATATCTGATGAGGGCCGTGCTGGAAGAAGGGAAGCCATCGTCTTGCGTCAGCACTGGGATCGTTCTGGTGGCTTTGGCGGTGGCAGTGAAGACGAGTCGTTGGCAGCTTTCGTGCGCAGATGTGAAGCCATGAATGCGTTCACCCCTGAAGGCCTGCGTGAGCTCAGGGCCTGAAGTTGGATGTGCCGGCACGAAAAGGGATCAGGTGAACGTCGGGATATGGTTCAAGTTAGCAAGGACACGCTGAGTCACTGAGGGCCCCCACAGCACTTTGCTACGCTTTTGAGACCAGAGCCCGTCAGTGTGGACATCCAAACGCTTTCCAGAAAGGCCCTCAATTCAGAGCAAGCCCTAGCCAGGCGCTTGGGACATTTAATTTTTTCCCTTCTTGGGTTTACGAGGATCATACTCAGGAGACCCTAAACCCTAAACCCTAAACCCTAAACCCTAAACCCTAAACCCTAAACCCTAAACCCTAAACCCTAAACCCTAAACCCTGAACCCTGAACCCTAAACCCTAAACCCTAAACTCTAAACAGGGCGACCCTCCATGCTGCCGCTTCAGGCGCCGCCCGCCTGGTCGCTGCGTGGGAAGGACCCCTGCGTGCCAGTTCTCGGGCAGCAGGCTGGCGCGGGGACGGGGGGGGGTGTGTGGGGGGGGGGGGGGGGGTGGGGGGGGGGGGGTTGTGGGGGGGGGGGGGGGCACTTAAACCCTAAACCCTAAACCCTAAACCCTAAACCCTAAACCCTAAACCCTAAACCCTAAATAACCCGCGAAACCAGCCAGTTTAGGTATAGGGTGCCTCATTCCTTCATTCCCTCTTAAGAACCAGCCAGTTCAGGTGGCCGTGGGGGCGCGGCCGCCTTTCCAGTACGTCCCCAGTGCCATGGAAGCTCGCCTTGCTTGAGGGGTTTAGGGTTTAGGGTTTAGGGTTTAGGGTTTAGGGTTTAGGGTTTAGGGTTTAGGCGTTCTGCGGCGACCTTCCGTTTAGGGGCTTGGGGGCTCCACGGCTTGGGGGCAAACCCTAAACCCTGAATCCGAAACCTGAAGCCTGAAGCCGTGAAGCCGAGTTTCTGGAGCTTTGAGGCTTCAGAGGGTTTAGGGTTCAGGGTTCAGGGTTTAGGGTTTAGGGTGACTCACTTGCAGGGTTTAAGGGTTTAAGGGTTTTAGGGTTAGGGGTTTTGGGGTTTGAACCCAAAGAAGCCCGAGGCCCCCCCTCTCCAAAAAAAGGTCGAAGGAGGTTTAGGGTTTAGGAGGCAGGGTTTAGGGTTCAGGGTTTGGGGTTTAGGGTTTAGGGGGTTGGTGCCTTCAAAGTGCTCCCCGATGGTGATTGCAGAGTCTCGCTGAAGGAGAAGGTGTGGTTCGAGCAGAACCGCGCGGGGCAGATCTGCCAACTTGCGCTGCAGCAGAAGCAGCAGGCAAGGGGAGAGGACCCTAAACCCTCAACCCTAATCCCTAAACCCATTTTTTGGGTTTCGGGGGCGGGGGGGGGGGGGGGGGGGGTGGGTGGTGGTTGGTGTTTAGGGCTGAGTGATGCCCTCGACCCGAAGCCCGCAATGGTATCCTCAAGGTTTGTTTTAGGCTTTTAGACTTTTTATTGTTATTATTAATATTGTTAGTTTTTTAATTTTAATTTTATTATTATTATTTTTTTTTTTTTGGGGGGGGGGGGGGGGGTTGGGTTTAGGGTTTAGGGTTTAGGGTTTAGGGTTGAGGGTTGAGGGTTGAGGGTTGAGGGTTTAGGGTTGAGGGTTTAGGGTTTAGGAATTCTTCTCAGGCATTATGGTACGGCGTTTGAGGGCTCAGGGTTTCGGATGTGGGATTTAGGGTTTAGGGCTTCAGTGCCAACAGTGCAATGATGTTCTTTTTTGGGTTTCGGGTTTAGGGTTTAGGGTTTAGGGTTTTCAGGGTGCGACTTTTGGGTGTTGAGGCGCGTGTGGGGCTTTGGGATGTTCAGGGTTTTGGGCCTCGGCATTCCCTCTCAGCTTCTTCTCTTCTCTCTGAGCTCCACCCCATATATCCTGAAATCCCTCAACCCTAAACCCTAGACCCTAAATCCCAAAACCCTACACCCAAACCCCAGACGGCCCCAAACCCTAAACCCCAAACCCGGATTGACTCTCCAAGCCCGCGTCAACCCTAAACCCCAAGCCCCAAACCTTCAACCCCAAACCTCGAACCCTAAACCCTAAACCCTAAACCACAAGCTTAAACCCTAAAGCCAAAACCCTAAGCCCCTAAACCCTACACCCCAACCCCAAGCCCTAAGCCCTATACCCCAAGCCCTAAACCCTAAACCCTAAACCCTAAGCCCTAAGCCCTAAGCCCTCAGCCCTAAGCCCTAAGCCCTAAGCCCTTGAAGAAGCGTACCGTGATTTAGGAATCACACCTCGTAATGTTTCGGCTCATTAGCCTGCAACTTTAGTGTTCGTGGAATGGCCGGCGCCTTATCAGTCTGTTCTGATTGCAATCGCTGGGCAAGCACTTCCGGAGCACCTATCTGTGGTCTCTGTCGGGTGGTCCGAGCTGTTCGATTATTGCCTTTTGATTCTCGGGTCACATCGAGCAATTACGATCTTGCACATTCGATTTTGGAAAGAAGTTTGGGTGAAGTGAACTCGTGGTTATCGGTTCCTCTGACTGGTGTTCCTGATTCTCACGAACTGGTTGTCGAAACTCCTGATTCGGGAGCTTTGCAACTAGACAGTGGATCATCCAGCCAGGGGGCCAACAAGGAAAAAAGGAAGGAGCGTGATCGTGATCGCCGAGAGCAGCGGAGAGAGGAGAAGAGAAGACCTCCTACCCCGCCTCGACCTGTGCGGAGGCCAGCTTCAGTTGACCAGCGCGCCTCCCCTGCAGGTTCGTCTGGTCATTTTCCAGAAAAGGAAGCTTTCAGCTGGGAAAGGCAGCGCAAGCCCAAAAACAAAGGGCGTAAGCATCGAGAGCGTGGAATCAACTATCGAAAGCAGTGGAAGCTGAGGGATCTGGAAGCACGTGAGCCGGATGGCCCCGAGGAGGCGGCCTGCAGCGGCGAAAGCTGCTCCAAGGAGAGCAAGAGGGCTCAGGCCAAAGGCTGTGCCGAAACGAAAGGCGAAGGCCAAACCAACACCCAACAATCGCCGCAAAGGGGAAGAGCATCATCCTCCACGTAAAGATACACCATGGAAGCTAGTTCAAGATTTTGCTTTTCAGGTGGGACATCAGGTACACTTGAAAGGGAAGTACAAGGGAGATGCAGCGGAGTGTGTAGGGGAGGTCGAGAGCTTAGTCGAGGACCAAGAGGGTCAGTGGATCAAGTTGGATCTGACGGGGACTCCTCATGTGGGGTTGCAAGAGTGGCGGAAGTCCTGCCAAGACGCGTTTTATGCGAATCGGGCACCTCTCCTGAAATCATTAGATGCGGGAGTGGACGGGTTGTTTTGCGCGCGCGAGGTGCGAGAGGTAGATCCCCTCTTAGAGTGGAAGTCCAACCTGACCGAGCTGAGGCGGGACCTGGAAGCTCTCCCCGGGTTGGAAGCTGTCGCCAGAGATTTGGGCTATGGAGTAACGGGAGGTGTGGGGAATTTACTGCCGCCGCCTCCTGCTCAGAGGGAAGAGGGAGAGTCTGCAAAAAAGCCGAGGAAGCTACGCGGCAAGGAGCGCGTTCGCCAGATGGTTCAGCAGAGCACGTGGTCGTGGGCCGGTTCATCCCTAGACCCCAAATTCAAGAGGCCCAAGGTGGGGTTGAAAAGGAAGAGAGAGCAGAGCAGCAGTTCCTCCAGCGTCAGTCACAGTGGGAGCGGGGAGAGGTCAGAGCAGGAGGATCTGTTTCCAGAGGAGTCTCAGACGAAACACATCGCTCGAAAATGCCCAGGACTTCTCTCAAGATTTGCGATCAAGGAGGCAAAGAAGCGACTCCTAACCCAGGTAGGGGAGGAAGCTGGGAACCATGCTCCAAGTCCAGTTTTCGTCCGTTATTACCGACAGGTCTTCGCGCATTCGGGAGCGTCGACTCCTATGAAGCGAGAGTATTTGACTCTTGCCACATGTCTCGACTCTATCATCGAGGGCAACATCTTGAAGTGCCTGGATGTGGGAGTTCAGAGGTTGAAAGCGGTCGAGCAAATGAGTCTGGGAGCCGCGGCGCAATTGGCAAATCGTCTCGAGTTAATCCCGCCAGAAACCTCGGTTCTAGCATCCCTAGAAGAGAGTCGCGGGGCTGCGCAAGAACACCGCCGAGAAGAGAAAATCAGAGGCTCTTGGAAGGGCAAAGGAAAGTGGGAGAGCAATTGGAATCGCCAGGTGTTGGAGGAGCAAGCCTTCAAATGGGAGAAAGGATCCAAGAGTGCCAAGGGAAAGGATCCAAAGGGCAAACCGGGAGGCAAAGGTCGCCCCTGGAAAGGTCAACCAGCCCCGGCGAGCGAAGTAATTCCAGTCAAGGAGTGATTAGTGTGGGGTCCACCTCCGAATCTGTTGTTTCAGTGTCTCCTCCTGAAGTGCGGGAGGAGCCGTGTTCTTCCCTGCCATCTGATCTGGTTGGTCATGTCGGGCAGCTAGGTGTACTGCTTGGAAAGTGGCTTGATGTCAACTCACATTTGCGAGTGGGATATGAGCAATCTGTTCCAAGCAAGCATCCTTCCACGGCAGAGGTCTTCCCTTTGCCTATGCTTCCGGGCGGTCTGCCTCCCGAGGAGCATATTTGGCTTCAAGCTGCGATCCGAGCATTAAACTGGCTAGCCTGCGGGGATTTGACTTTAGGTGAAGCTCCAGCTAGCAGGGTTCAAGAGTCTTTGCTGACGGTCCTGCGTGAGTCGTTCAGGGTCGAGCGTCTGGGCTCTCACGTGTTCGATTCCATTCCCATGGAAGACTACTGGAAGTCTAAAGGTGTCAACGGTTATGGTGAAGAGGTGCATAGTGCGTTGCCGTTCAACTGGAGCAACATTGAACACAGCCTCCCTAAACGAGAGCAGGCTGGTGCTCTTGATGGGGTGGACGTTGCATCCGCTGGGATCAAAGATTTCTTAAGTGACCCTTGCAAATACCTGAAACCTTCTCCATCCCGAACCTGGATGAAGCCCCCGAGGGTCATGGTTCGACCCGAGGACTGGGGGGCCGTCGCTGAGGGTTTGGTAGAGCGTAGGATTTGCGAAGTCATTCCTTTGAGTGAGGTCATCCGTGTTGAGGGAAAGCCCATCCTCGGCGGCCTCTTCGGCGTGCCAAAAAATGAGGAGATCGGAGGAGTACCGGTGCTGCGTTTAATCATGGATTTGCGGCCCATCAACCAGTTGTTTGAGTCCATTGCAGGTGACCTCCACACGTTGCCAATGCTTAGTCAACTCTTTCCTCTCGAGATTTTTCCTAACGAGGATGTTTTAGTTAGCTCGGAAGACATCAAGGCGATGTTTTATATTGTGGGCCTTCCAAGCGAGTGGAGACCTCTCCTAGCCTTCGGGAGAGAAGTCCCCAAACATTTGCGACCTGCAGGGGTCAATGAGCCCTGTGTGCTGACAAGTCGAGTACTGCCGATGGGATTCATCAATTCTGTGTCGGTAGCCCAGAGCCTCCATCGTAGCATTGTCAATCGTGCGGTGGATGAATTGGGAATCAGCCGTGACAAAGAAATCAGGCGAGATCAGTCGCTCCCAATTTCAGCACTGTCGTACCGTGTCTATCTGGACAATTTCGACTCGCTGGTGAGGACCAATCGGGAGGCAGCGAGTCTCCTTGAAGGTTCCTTGAGCCCTTTGGCAGCAGAACTCAGGCAGGTGTATGGCAAACTTGATGTTCCAGTGAACGAGAAGAAATCCAATCGCAGCGCGCTTCAGGGTGAAATGCAAGGAGGTTGGATTGACGGGCGTGAAGGGACCATCTGTCCTAAGCCTGACAAATTTGCCCGGTACCTGAGGGCGTGTTGGTATTTGCTACAAAGCAAAACGTCCAACCTCAAGCGAATTCAAGTGGTTGCCGGAGGGCTTGTTTATCTGTTCAGCTACCGTCGTTGTCTAATGAGTTGCCTAAACGAGGTTTGGCAGTTCATTTCATCTTTCGAAGGAAATGTCAGTGTATGGAAAGCTATCCCCGATGTCGTCAAGAAGGAGTTGTTCTGTTGTGCAGCTTTAGCCCCGTTGTCGTACATGGACTTGAGGCTCCCTTTTGATGCACTCGTCAGCGCCAGCGATGCCAGTGAAACTGGTGGAGGTAGGTGCCTACGTTGCGGTGGAGGCGGACCCGTGCGCCAAGCGGGTTGTGGAGAGCGCCTTCGCTTCAGTTGAGTTCGTCAACACAGTTGATGAGGTAACCGATGAAATAGTACTAAGCTGGGCACGAAGGTTTTCGAGGGTTGGTGTCGTCCTGATTTCGGGAGGCCCCCCTTGCCAAGGAGGTTCAGGGTTAGGTGCATCCAAAAGAGGTTCAGAGTCTGCTTCAAACTGCAGGCTTCATCAAGAGGTTCCTCGAATACGGGATCTGGCAGAGAAACATTTCAGTTGGGCAAAGGTTTTCTTCCTCATGGAAAGCGTGTCGTCTATGTCAGATGGGGATCTGGCGTCTGTGACGCGTTCAGCAGGGATCCTGCCTTATGAGTTGGACGCATGTGGCCTCACACCTTGTCGCAGGAATCGGCTGTTTTGGTTCAATTGGCAGGTTTCAAGTGAACCAGGGGTAGAGATCATTAGGCCTTCAACCTCTGAGCCCACTGATTACGGGAGAATTGCTTTTCTCCTGCCAGTCCCTCCTGACCCTTACCTGACGCCTGGTTGGTCACTTGCGGGAGGTATCGGTCAAAAAGTTCCAGCTTTCGTGGCGGCGCAGCCGAAGGCGCAACCGGGTTTGCGTCCTGCAGGGATCGATTCTTGCACTGAACGTGATCTTGCTTATTGGGAAGCTGATAAGTTTAGGTTTGCCCCATACCAGTACAAGTATCAGCATGGCCTGGTTCATCTCAAGCATGGTTGGAGGTTGGCTAATGCTTACGAGAGGGAAGCTATGCTGGGTTTCCCTCTTGGCTACACAGTAGAGTGTTGGCCAAAATCAGACCGCAAACGTGATCCTGCAAAGCATGACAACTATCGTTTGAGTTTGCTAGGGAACTCGAGCTCGGTTCCTGTTATAGCATATCTTTTGTTGCATTTGTTGGCTCCACTCAAACTCTGTGAAGATCAGACGGTCAACCAAATCCAGAAAAACTGCCAGCCAGGACAAAGCAAACATCTGAATAGCTTTTTGACCCGTCCACCCTGGACAGCGGCGCGTCAAGGCAAAGCAGATGGCAATGATGCCATGTTGGTGCGCAAATTGTCTTCCCTCATGTCAACGCGAGGGACTGATGTGTTGTTGCAGGCTGGAACTGAACCAGCGCGTTCCTATGACCGTTTGCGCACGTCCGTTCCTGCGCGCCTGTGGAAATGGGCTACAGCTTGCTCTTGGAAATGGAAGAAGGGCGGGTCAGGAGAAGTTGAACATATAAACCGACTCGAATTGCGTGCAGTGTTGACGTCCGTGAAATGGCGCATCCTAAAGGCAAAGCAAACGCGAACGCGCTACCTTCATCTGGTGGACAGCTTAGTGTCGCTTCACGTCATCAACAAAGGCCGCAGTTCCAGCCGGAAGTTGAGGACAATCCTGAAAAAGATCAGTGCATGGCTGTTGTTGTCTGCTAACGCTTGCGTTCTCGGTTATGTCGACACTGGGCAAAATCCCGCGGATGCGCCCTCGCGGCGCGGACAAAAGCGCAAATGGGGAAGCGGGAGGTAGTCGAAGGCAGAAACCGAAACGCAAGAAAATTTCGCAGACAACAGCTAGGGAAATTGAAAGATTTGATTGTTCAACCTCGAACCCGAGTCCGGTATGAGCATGCCATGCAGCGTTTCTTTGAGTTTTTGAGGTGGAACAAAATTGCATTGCCGTCTCGATGGGATGAGGCTGACAGTGTAGCTTCCTCATATGTTGAGGAGTTGTGGGAAGAAGGGGACTCACGTTCCCTCGCTCAAGACACCATCTCAGCCTTACAGCATTTCGAGCCTCAGCTTAAACGTAAGATGTTGCGTAGCTGGCGCTTGTTAAAGGCTTGGCAGAAGCATGAAATACCAACCAGGGCACCGCCCTTTACCCTAACAACGTTGTCTGTGCTGGCAGGCTGGTTGCAGACAAGATGTGCTGAGCTCGCTCTTGCAGTATGTGTGGGGTTTCATGCACTCCTGAGATCGGGAGAGTTGTGCCAACTACGCAATAGAAACATCATATGTTCTGAAGATCTTGTCATACTGCAACTCGGACAGACGAAGATGGCCGTGCGAAATGCTGGCGTGGAGAGTGCTTCCTTCAGACATCAAAAAATTTCCATCATGTTGCGTGCTTGGAAGGCTGTCAATTCCGATGAAGCTTTGTTGGTGAACATGTCACCCTCTTTGTTCCGCCAGTGGTTCTCGAGAGGGTTATCAGAAACGGGTCTCATAAGCTTGCCCTACAAACCATATAGCCTTCGTAGGGGAGGAGCGACGCAAGTGTTCTTGGAAACGCAGTCGTATGCAGCTGTGTGTCAGCGAGGGCGATGGGCGTCGGAACGCACGTCCCGGATCTATATCCAAGATTCCATTTCTTTGCTCACTGATATTCCTAAAGCGCTCACCTCCGTGCAGCGAGAGTTTTATGACTCTTGGAATGAACTTTTGGGCAGGCTTGAGCCTCCCAGCTCAAGAGCTGGAAGAAGCAGGGGTCGTGGAAGAGGAAAGTAGTGGAAAGCATTTTTTGCTGAGACTTCTCACGCGTCGCGGTGGAAGTGCCCGTGATGCTCATGATCGTCTCCCACCTGCAGCGAAAAGCAGCAGCTATCCTCATCTTCGATTGGGCCCAATTGTACAGATGTGTAAACATCCTCTTTATGCTACAACACGATGCTTGCTTGGAAAAGCGAAACATGAGAGAAGGAGATTCCTTGAAGAAGCGTACCGTGATTTAGGAATCACACCTCGTAATGTTTCGGCTCATTAGCCTGCAACTTTAGCCCACCCTCCCACCCAGGAAAGAGGAAAGTAGTGGAAAGCATTTTTTGCTGAGACTTCTCACGCGTCGCGGTGGAAGTGCCCGTGATGCTCATGATCGTCTCCCACCTGCAGCGAAAAGCAGCAGCTATCCTCATCTTCGATTGGGCCCAATTGTACAGATGTGTAAACATCCTCTTTATGCTACAACACGATGCTTGCTTGGAAAAGCGAAACATGAGAGAAGGAGATTCCTAAGCCCTAAGCCCTAAGCCCTAAGCCCTAAGCCCTAAGCCCTAAGCCCTAAGCCCTAACCCTAAACCCAAAATCTCAAGCCCTCAGCCCTAAACCTAAACCCCAAGCCCTAAACCCTGCACCCCGAGCCCTAAACCCAAGCCCCAAGCCTCAAACCCTAAACTAAACCCCCACTTCCTATGCCCTACACCCGGAGTCCTTAGCCCCAAACCCTAAACCCCAAGCCCTAAACGCTAAGCCTTAAACCAAAAACCCTAAACCCTAAACCCTAAACCCTAAACCCTAAACCCTAAACCCGAAGTCTCAGAAGCGCTTCGCCAGGCCGCGCTCTGGATGACCTACTCCAAGGACGCGCCTCGCCTCGGGTTTAGGGTTTAGGGTTTAGGGCTTAGGGTATATATAACATAGTAGGGTTTGAGGGAATGAGGTACCCTATACCTAAACTGGCTGGTTTAGCGTTTAGGGTTTAGGGTTTAGGGGTATATTCCCTTAACGGGCATATATGATTCGGCCCCGGCGGGCCCCCCCCCCCCCCCTACCCCCCCCCCCCCAATGGTAACCCCCCCCCCCCCCCCCCTGTGGTGTGGTTGGGGGTTGGTTTTAGGGTTTTAGGGTTTAGGGTTTAGGGTTTTAGGGTTTAGGGTTTTAGGGTTTTAGGGTTTTAGGGTTTTAGGGTTTTAGGGTTTTAGGGTTTAGGGTTTAGGGTTTAGGGTTTAGGGTTTAGGGTTTAGGGTTTTCCCCGCGGATGGGGTACTAAGATGAATCCCCCCCCCCTGTGGTGTGGTTGGGGGTTGGTTTTAGGGTTAGGGTTTAGGGTTCAGGGTTTTAGGGTTTAGGGTTTAAGGTTTAAGACTTAAGGTTTAGGGTTTAGGGTTAGGGTTTAGGTTTTAGGGTTTAGGGTTTAGGGTTTAGGGAGGGACCGTAGAGTAGACTTGGGGGGGGGGGGGGATACCATGGGGGGGGGGGGGGCGGCCCAGGACGCTCGACGCTGAACCATATACAGGGCCCTAATTCCCTCATGAAACCAGGGGGCTTCTTAGGGTCTGCCATCGTTTATATTTTAATTACAGGGTTTAGGGCTCTAGGATTTAGGGTTTTGGGTTATAGGGTTTTGGGTTTAGGGTTTTGAGTTTTGGGTTTAGGGCAGAAGTTTTTGGTTTAGGGTTCAGGAATATAGGGGGTTTAGGTTTTTGTTTGGTTTAGGGTCTCTGGGTTGAGTGTTGAGCGTGTTGAGGTTTAGGGCTGTCTAAGCTCAAGGGAATGTTTGTTTGATCCGACCTTAAATGCTTCGAAGCTGGGTCGAGGTGTGCCGTCGTGTCGGCTGGTCTGCCGGACTACCGTTTTCGGGTTCTGGGTTTAGGTTTTAATTTTGATTGGCTCTTGAATCAGGGCTTGGGGTTCAGGCCTCGATCAGGGTTCACGTAGTGGTTGGATAAGCCCTAACAAACCCTAAACCCTAAACCCTAAACCCTAAACCCTAAACCCTAAACCCTAAACCCTAAACTCTAAACCCTAAACCCTAAACCCTGAACCCTGAACCCTAAACCCTAAACCCTACAAGGTTTAGGCTTCAGGGTGAGTTGGTTTGTTGGGTTTCAGGTTTGTGGGTTTTTGGGTTCCGGGTTGCCAAGGTGCCGGCTTCGGGGCTTGCAGGCTTTAAAGTTTGGGGTTGAGAGGGGTTTAGGGTTGAGGGTTGAGGGTTTAGGGTTTAGGGTGTGGGGCTCTGGGTATGTCCGGTTTACGGTATGTAGGGTTTCGAGTTGAGGTGTGGGGCACAGGCACAGGGTGGTGAGCTGTTTTCTCTTCTGGTGGGGGGGGGGGGGCAGGTACTTCAACAGCTCAAAGCAACGAGGTGGCCAGCCAACCACTGAAGCCTTTTGCCAGCTAAGCCCTACTGCCCCTCATAACCCCAAAAACCGCCAAAACCCTAAGCCCTGCACCCTACCCTATCCTACCCGCCCCCCCCCGCCCAAAACCCCAGAGATGTATCTTAATCCCCCCCCCCCCCCCCAAACCTGAAAAAATCTGCTCCACCCGAAACCCTGAACCCTGAACCCTAAACCCTAACCCCTAAACCCTAAACCCTAAACCCTCAACCCTAAACCCTCAACCCTAAACCCTAAACCCTAAACCCTAAACCCTACAAGATCCCCTCCACAGGTGTTCAAGCCGGTGCCGGGCCAGGCCCCGCGAGGTCCCACCGCGGAGGAGGCCCAGGTTCTGTCCCACTTCCTGGACCAGGAGCCCACAGCAGGGTTTGTTTAGGGTTAGGGTTTAGGGTTTAGGGTTTAGGGTTTAGGGTTTAGGGTTTAGGGTTTAGGGTTTAGGGTTTAGGGTGTATAGAAGGGAAGCTCGCTGGTGCTAAAAGCACCCGGGCCGCTCGCTTGCGTTAGCATGTAGTCCCACCCCAACCACCCAAACTATTCTCATTTAGGGTTTAGGGTTCACCCCCCAAACCCCCCTCAAGGGGGGCTTTCTTGCTTTTTGCAGAGAAAGAGCAGGGCGGGGTCTCCCGAGCTTCATGGAGCCTGTCAGTGGCTCGTAGGCTTCTTGGAGCTTTCACGGAGTAAAATGGAAGGTGCCCAAAACCGTCAATTGCAATACCAAAAACCCACATTTTCGGGCTTGAAAGGGCAGCAAAAACGGTCGGGGGTAGCAGGGGCCTCGGCCGGCCCCTGCTTTTTAAAATGGAGCCCAAAACCGTCGATTTGCAATACTAAAAACCCCACATTTTCTTACGCGTCTGGGCAAATCCTGGATCTGGGGGCTTCAAGAGTATTCGGGAGGTCTGAACAGGGCCTGAGACCAGATTGGGGGCGGTCCCAGGGAGGTCCCAGGAAAGTTTCAGGGGGGTTCCAAAGAGTGCAGGCGGGTTTCAGGGTCCCAGAAACGTTTCCGGAGTCAGGGTCCAATTGTCAGAAGGAGGGGGTCCCAGGGGGTCCCAGGGGGTCCCAGGGGGGTCCCAGGGGGTTCCCAGAGCAGGGGGTTTCAAAAACGGGTCAAAACAACGATCGGAGGCAAAATCGCTGCAGGCCCCCCCTGGACCGGCCCCGGCAGGGGGGGGTCCCCGGAATCTGCCAGCCCGGGCCCCAGACCCCCGGGGGGGTACCCCCCCGACCCCCGCAAAAAACACTACAACACATCAATGGTCGTAGGTTTGGGGTCCTAATTACATTGGGGCTGACGCCCTAGGTCTGAGGCGTAGCCAGTCACTGCCGTCTCGTCTACCGGGAGGCTTTACCCTCCCTCACCGTTCTGTGGAGACGCTCGGTCGGGGACCTCGGTCGAAGCCTCGAGCGCCCATGCATATGGACAGCGGCGCTCTCGGCAGTTTAGGGTTTAGGGTTTAGGGTTTAGGGTTTAGGGTTTAGGGTTTAGGGTTTAGGGTTTAGGGTTTAGGGTAGACCGCTAAACCCGAAACCCCACCAAGTTGCCCCCGCCAGATTTGCCCCAGCAGGGTTGCCGCCGTCAGGGTTGCCCCCGCCAGGGTTGCCCCCGCCAGGGTTGCCCCCCGCCAGGGTGGTTGCCCTATACCAGTTGCGCCCAAAATTCCTTTCCAACTTTCCAGCTTCGCTTTTGGCAGGGCTTAGGCTTGCTTTCCCACTTTTTGGACAAGGAACCAGCTTGAGGGTTTCAAAAAGGTTCGTTTAGGGTTTAGGGTTTAGGGTTTAGGGTTTAGGGTTTAGGGTTTAGGATTTAGGCTTTAGGGTTTGAGGGTTTTGAAAGATTTTTGTTGGGGTGTAGGTTTTGGGGCTTTCAATGTGTTTTTTGGGCTTAGGGTTCTTACAGGGCTGTGTTGGGGTTTAGTTTTTTGTTATAAGGCTTTCGGGGTGTCGGTTTTTTCAAGTTTTGAACAGCTTTTTGGGGGTTGCGGGTTTAGGGGCTATTTGTTTTAGAGTTTTTACTTCTTTCTCTCGGCGGTTAGGGTTTCAGGGTTTTGGCTTGTAGGTCTAGGGTTTGTGGTGTCAGAGGTGTAGGCTTTTTTTTGGTTGGGGGGCTTGTGTTTTTGGGCTTTGGGTTCAGGGTTTTCTTGCGGGGTTTAGAGGTCTCGGGTTCAGGGGTTGTGGGTTTTGGGGCGTAATTGAGGTTTTGGGTTGGTCCAGGGTTGTAAACCCTCAACCCAAAAACCCCCAAACCCTAAAACCCTAAACCCTGGACCCTAAACCTAAAACCCTAAACCCTAAACCCTAAAACCCGAAACCCTAAGCCCCAAACCCAGTGTTTAAGGGTCTGGGGCGTAGAGTTTTCTAGGCTTCCGTGTCTGGTCGCTTGAGGATGGGCGGCCCCACTACATAGAGCCGCTGCCTCCGGGACGGCATTTTGGAGGGCTGAAACCCCAAGCCCTAAACCCTAAACCGCCTAAACCTAAACCCTAAACACAAACCCCGAAAATCTAAACCGTCATAAACCCTAAAACACTAAACCCTAACCCCCTAGATCCTAGGTTGAAGTTGGAGGGCTTGGAGCTTTTGCACTTTTCGGGTTTTGGGGGCCTACCATGCTTGACGCAGGGCTTGGGATTGAGGGCTTGAAAGGGTTTGGAAGTGGGTCCTGCTCTTTACCCTTCATGTTGCGGGACCCCAAAGGGGGTGGGTATTTCTCTGTCACTTGATGCGCTGGTTGACCCTAAGCCCTAAACCCTGAACCCTAAACCCTAAACCCTAAACCCTAAACCCTAAACCCGAAACCCGAAACCCGAAACCCTAAACCCTAAACCCTAAACCCCAAAAGACCATAGCCTCGCAAGGTCTGGAGTGGCGCGCAATCCGCAAGCCCTCTGCGAAGGGGGCGGCGAAGCCAACCAACGAGATATCCAGCCACTGGTCTTGTAGGGTTTAGGGTTTAGGGTTTAGGGTTCAGGGTTCAGGGTTCAGGGTGTAGGGCCAGTGTAGGGTTTAGGGTTTACCGTAGCTTAGGTTTTAGGGTTTAGGGTTCAGGGTGAACCCTAGACCCTAAAGCCGAGGGTTTGAGGGTTGTTTTGGGGCTTCAGGGGGTTTTCGGGTTTTACTAGCATCCCCTCCTTCGGACAGCAGGTGTCGGGTTTAAGGTTTGGGGCCTAGGGTTGAGGGGAATGCTTTGGACTCAAGGAGTAACCCTAAACCCAAAACCCTCAACCCTAAGCCCTAAGCCCTAAGCCCTAAACCCTAAACCCTAAACCCTAAACCCTAAAACCCTAAACCCTAAACCCTCAACCCTAAACCACACCTGCGTTTAAGCCCCGGAAAGCAGCATCTCAGGTACCTCGTCGTGGATAGCCTCTGTGGGCAGCCAGGACTAAGTTTGGGTTTGACACCCTAAGCCCCAAAAGCCCGAAAGCCCCCAAACCCCCCAAAAACCCCAAACCATAAGACCCTAAAGCCTAAACGCCAAACCGTAAGACCCTAAACCCTGAGACCCTATGGCCCTGAACCCTGGATCCTAAGACCCCAAAACCCCGACACCCTAAAGCCACGAGACCCTAAAACTCTTCTGGGGTTGGAACCACGCACCGATATGGCCTTTGCTCGTAGGTAGGGGCCCCGAATCCGTTAGGGTTTAGGGTTTAGGGTTTAGGGTTTAGGGTTTGGGTAAACAAGGGTTGTCTAACAACGGACCCAGCTTAAGGGCTCAGACATGGAGCCCCGAAACCCCAATACGTACCCTAAACCCTAAACCCTAAAACCCTAAAACCCTAAACCCCTAAACCCTAAAACCCTAAAACCTCAAACCCTAAAACCCTAAAACCCTCAAACCCTCAAACCCTAAAACCCGAAAACCCTACCCCTAAAACCCTAAAACCCTAAACCCTAAAACCCTACCCCCTAAACCCCAAAACCCCCAAAGTCCCTGGACCCTGCACCGCCACATGGGTTCAGGGCAGAGGCTTAAGGAGTCCTCGAGCCAGACATGGGTCGTAGCACGATCCGGTGAACCGACCCCCGAATCCGTTAGGGTTTAGGGTTTAGGGTTTAGGGTTTAGGGTTTAGGATGCCCGAACACGCAAATCCCCTCACCTTTGGCCCCTGAACTGGGGTTTAGGCTTTCGGGTTTCGGGCTTAATTAGGGTCTCGGGTTTAGGGGCATAAGAGGACCGCGGCGAGCCAAACTGTTTGACCTGGGTAGCACCACAAAGTGGAAGCCCAGCAAGCTGACGCGCCTTGGCAGGCGAAATTGGGCTTAGGGTTTTTCAGGGCGAGCTTCGCCGAAACCAATCTCCGGTTTAGGGTTTAGGGTTTAGGGTTTAAGGAGGGTGGGTATGGGGGTGTATGTATCTAGGGACCTTAGGGAAGCTTGGGGAGCCTTAGGGAGGGTTAGGGAGTAGCGAGTATTAGGGAGGCTTGGGTTACACACCCCCCTTGAATCCCCCTCCCTGAAGGGGACAGAAGGTCTAGGGTTTAGGGTTACAGTCTGAAGCAACGGCAGTCATCTCACGTGGCCTGTTCACACGCTTTGGCTACGTGAGTCGCTTAGATGGAATCGCTTCGGCATTTCCAGAGTTGGCCCTTAACCCTAAACCCTAAACCCTCAACCCTCAACCCTAAACCCTAAACCCTAAACTCTAAACCCTACAAGCTTTGGTGCACCTTGGAGCATGGCACTGGGGACGCTGACATGTCTCATGTATTTTAGGGTGAAGGGTTTAGGGTTTAGGGTTTAAGGTTTAGGGTTTCCGGGGCATAGGCTTGGGGACTTAGGTTGGGTGGCTTTGGGGGTTTTACGGTTTCGGGGTGGGGTTGGAGCAGAAGACCCGCAACCCGGGCTTAGGGCCACTCCAAGCAGCAGGGTTCGGATCCCTAGTAAGCTCGAGCAACCAAGCCGGGCATCGATCTTTCCTGTAGCCTCGACAGGAAGCTAAACCCGGAAGGGTTAGTATTTAAGCCCCTCAACCCCAAAACCCTGAAATGTCCTGAAAGCCTGAAACCATGAAACCCTAAAACCCTAAACTCTAAACCCTAAACCCTAGACTAGACCCTGAACCAACCCCGAGCCCTAAACCCTAAAGCCCCCAAACCCTAAACCCTAAACCCTAAACCCTAAACCCTAAACCCTAAACCATTAAACCCTACACCCCTAAACCCTTAAACTTACTAAACCCTAAACCCTAAACCCTAAACCCTAAACCCTAAACCCTAAACCCTAAACCCTAAACCCTAAACCCTAAACCCTAAACCCTAAACCCTAAACCCTAAACCCCAAACCCTACAGAGCCATCTCAGGGGTGACTTCCTGGCCGCCGACTATCGGCTTGCTCTGGGAGCCCTTCCCTCCGCTCTGCTGCTCTTCAACATGTACCGAGATCCTTGGCCCGAAGCCCTAAACCAGAGGGTTTAGGGTTTAGGGTTTAGGGTTTAGGGTTTAGGGTTTAGGGTTTAGGGTTTAGGGTTTAGGGCTTACTAGGGTTTGCTAGGTTTCAGCAGGTTCGGGGAGTTCAGTGAGCTTCGTCTTCAAGGCTGGTTTGGTTTTGGTCTCTAGGAGACTCTAGGATGGTCCCTAACCCCTATAAGCCTCAGAAGCCCTACACCCTAAGCCCTAAACCCTAAATCCTAAACCCTAAACCCTAAACCCTAAACCCCAAGGATCGCTGCCTTGAGTTCGATGACATCTACGTCTGGGACGCCGTGAAGCTCCTGGGATGCCCCCAGTAGAGCCCTCATGCTCCCTGAGGCCCTGAAAGGTTTAGGGTTTAGGGTTTAGGGTTTAGGGTTTAGAGTTTAGGGTTTAGGTTTAGGGTTTAGGGCGCCCCTTTTTTTTCTCCATTCCCAGGGTTGCGCTTTTTGGGCCGCCCAGGATCGGACCCAACGAGCTGAAGCAGTGGTGGGATCCTTTGCCGGATCAGCTCCGTCCCTCGGCTTCCCTTTGGGGGTGGGTTTAGGGTATAGGGTTTAGGGTTTAGGGTTTAGGGTTTAGAGCTTAGGGTTTAGGGTTTGAAACTGGCCGCGCATCGCCAAGAGGGCTTTTGGATGGAAGAGTCGGCATAGGGGTTCCGGGTTGAGGGCCTTTGTTCGGATGGTTCCTGTAGGGTTTAGGGTCTAGGGTTTCGGGTTGAAGGCTAATTTGGGGCGTGGGTTTTGGGTTTAGGGTGGAGGGTTTGGGGTTGGGTTTGGGGTTTAAGCGTTGGTTGTGTTCTAAGTAACCTAGCTTAGGTACTTCTGGGGGACCGCTATGTTCGGAAGTACCGTTCTAGCGGGTCAGAAATTAGAGGGTTCTTAAGGGAGGCAGGTTCATGAGGGGGGTTCATAGGGGGGGTAGGTACCAAGGGAACCTTAACGAAGCTTAGGGAGCCTTCGGGAGTAGTGGAGCGTATTCTAGAAACCCGCCTTGAACCCCCCTCCCTGAAGAACCCTATAGAGAAAGCCCTTGAAGCCTAAGCCCTTGAAGCCTAAACCAAATCAAGACCCAAGGGGCAAGGACTCGCTTCTACAACGTGGCTGTCAATGAGACGGCATGCGAGTCCATGGCGAAACTAACCTTCACCAAGAGTAGCACTTTCACTTGTGTTTGACCCACACCCTACACGCTACACCCTAAACCCCAAACCCCAAACCCCAAACCCCAAACCCTAAACCCTAAACCCCAAACCCCAAACCCTAAACCCTAAACCCTAAACCCTAATGTGTTTCTCCTCGGCCGTCGCGCCAGGAATGGGGTCTTTGCAGAGAGGGGTAGCTTCCTGCACATGCTTCCGATTGCCGCGAGCCTTGGGTGATCAAATGAACCCTAGCAGGGTTTATGGCTCATACACTTGCTAGGGGGAGTATAGTATAGGGGACCCGAAACCCGAAGCCCTAAGCCCTAAGCCCTAAACCCTAGACCCTAAACCCTAAACCCTAAATCCTAAAACCCTAAACCCCAAACCCTAAACCCTAAACCCCACTGTTCGGGGCTCTGTGTCTTCTTCCCCAAGGAAGCCAGAGGACTTCGTGGTGGTGAAGCTGGACCTCCGCGAGGGGCCTGAGCTGGCGATCATGGAGGCGCTGGCGAGGCATCCGGAACTTAGCTCCTCGGACTCCGATTTCGTTTCGGGTTTAGGGTTTAGGGGTTTAGGGGTTTAGGGGTTTAAGGGTTTAGGGTTTAGGGTTTGGGGTTTAGGGTTTAGGGGTTAGGGGTTAGGGGTTTAGGGACATTTCTCAGTGGCGCCTTGTGGGGTTTAGTGTTTAGGGTTTGGGGTTTGGGGTTTGGGGTTTAGGGTTTAGGGTTTGGGGCTTTGGGGTTTGGGGTATTTCTGGGATCTTAACCCCCTTTTCCTAACCGCCCCCTTAAAGATGCGCTCCCTGCGTTTTCCTGGGGGGAGAAGCGAGGCTCTCTCGTTGATGAAATACCCTAAGCCCTCATTCCTAAACCCTAAACCCTAAACCCTAAACCCTAAACCCTAAACCCTAAACCCTAAACCGTAAACCGTAAACCCTAGACCCTAAACCCTAAACCCTAAACCCTATACATACCTAAACCGCCCCCTAAAACTTTCCCTGGGTAAAGAAGCGAGGCTCTCTCGTTGATGAGATCTTTGTTGAGTATCGCTTCGACTTTGACGGCAGGCAGATGGATTGGGGCCAGACGGACCAGGACGAGTGATCAAAGCCTCAACCCCTAAACCCACCCTAAACCTTAAACCCTAAACCCTAAACCCTGAACCCTGAACCCTGAACCCTGAACCCTGAACCCTGAACCCTGAACCCTGAACCCTGAACCCTAACCCCTAAACCCTAATCTCTAAACCCTAAACCCTAGACCCTAAACCCTAGACCCTAAACCCTATCAACTATGGTGTGCTCCTCTTTACGAGGCGTTGGGGGCTCTTCCACCCAAAGCCCGAAATTCCCCAAAAGCCCGAAAAGCCCCAAAAGCCCGACAAGCCGAGAAGCCCTACTGTAAACCCTAAACCCTAAACCCTAAATCCGAAACCCTAAACCCTAAACCCTAAACCCTAAACCTTAAACCCTAAACCCTAAACCCTAAACCCTAAAGCCTGAGCCCTGGAAGGACAGGAATGTGGACACAGCCCTGGACTTGATGAAGAGGCTGCTAAGGGGTAGAGGGAGGGACCCCTAAAACCCCCTATATAACCCCTACATTGAACCCCTATATAGAACCCCTATATATATATACACACACCTGATAAGGGTTTAGGGTTTAGGGTTTCTATGTACCTAAAGAGCCCTCAATCCCCCCCCCCCCCCCAAGGTCCCTGATAAGGGTCCCTCCTTTCGTCCCTTAATCTTGCTCCCCCATATTCTACCCCCTCTACATAACCCCTAGATATCACCCCTATATATACTTTATAAGATTTAGGGTTTAGGGCTTATATAGGGTTTAGTCCCTTGAGGCTGCGGCTCGCGGGCGTCCGCTCGCACTTCTGGATGTCCGCCTCGGTGATCTGAGGACGAGACTGGGGAGCCTGAACCCTTACGAATCTCTACGAATCCCTACGGACCCTACGGACCCTAAACCAACCCTAAACCCTAAACCCTAAACCCTAAACCCTAAACCCTAAACCCTAAACCCTAAACCCTAAACCCTAAACCCTAAACCCTAAACCCTAAACCCTAAACCCCAAACCCCTAAACCCAAACCCCAACCCCCCAGCCACGCCCCCAAAATCTTCAGAATTCAGGACTTTGGGGGTGCCAGGGCCAAAGAAGCTCCGGCGTCCACCCCCCCCTCCCCCTCCTTCAATCCGAGGGAAGCTCTGCTTGAAGCCCTAAACCCTAAACCCTAAACCCTAAACCCTAAACCCTAAACCCTAAACCCTAAACCCTAAACCCTAAACCCCAAACCCTAAATCCTAAAAGCCCTGAAGCCCTAGAACCGAAAACCCTAAATCCCCGCAAGCCGACAGCAGCACCGTCTCGGAAAGTCAGCGTGCCGCGGCGCCCTGGGGCCTAAAAGCTGCGCTTTACAGTTTGAGGGTTCGGGTTGAGGGTGTTTAGGGGTTTAGGGTTTAGGGTTTGGGGTTTGGGGTTTAGGGTTTTGGGGTTTGAGGGGTTTGGGCCTAGGGCTTAGGACTTAGGTTTCTGGCGTGTGGGTTTTCGGGGCTTTGCGGTTCAAGGGGCTTCGGGCTTGTCGGGATAGGGACCCCGGGATGGTGTTGGGACCCCCGTGCGTTTCGGGGTTTGAGGGTTTAAGGGTTTGAGGGTTTAGGGTTTAAGGGTTTGAGGGTGTAAGGGTTCAAGGGTTTAAGGGTTTAGGGGTTTAAGGGTTTAAGGGTTTAAGGGTTTGAGGGTTTAAGGGTTTAGGGGTTTAAGGGTTTAGGGGTTACGCGCTTTGCAGCCTGAACTCGAGCTCTTCATGCTTCTACACCCACGGGCTCCATTGAACTTCGGGTTAGGCGCATTTTTTTTTTTTTTTTTGTGGGGGTTTGGGGGTTAGGGTTTGGGATGTAGGGTTTGGGGCTTGGGGTTTAGAGTTTAGGGTTTAGGGTTGGGTCTCTTTTGAGGGCCCTGATATGTCGACTTCAGCAGAGCTCATGACGAGATGTTGGACTCTCTGGGGGCCCTGCACCCACAACACTCAAACCCGACAGGCTCTAACGAAAACAACCGCAAACCTCTAGAAAAAAGGGACTGAGAATATGCCGAAACCCTAAACCTTAAACCTAAACCCTAAACCACCCTAAACCCCTAAACCCTAAACCCTGAACCCTAAACCCTAAACCTCTGTTGCCGGAGGCCGCTGATGAGGCTGCTCAGGAAGAGGAAGAGGAGCCACAGGGAGCCGGGGGCCTTTCCCCTCAACAACCCTTTAAAAATCCTCGGGGAACCCTAAACCCTAAACCCTAAACCCTAAACCCTAAACCCTAAACCCTAAACCCTAAACCCTAAACCCTAAACCCTAAACCCTAAACCCTAAACCCTAAACCCTAAACCCTAAACCCTAAACCCTAAACCCTAAACCCCAAACCCCAAACCCTAAACCCTACACCCTAAACCCTAAACCCTACACCCTAAACCCTAAACCTTAAACCCTAAACCCTAAACCCAACAAAAGAAGGAGCGGCAGCTGCGCGCGAAGTTGGCCGACGAGGCCCCGCCCTTGGAAGCTCAGTGGATCCCAGCTTCCCTGTGTTTTGGGGTTGAGGGTTTAGGGTTTAGGGTTTAGGGTGTAGGGCTTTCAAGCATAAAGCCCCCACACCCGAAATCCTAAAGCCTTAAACCCTTAAACCCTCAAATCCTTACAGCGCTCAGAGCCCTTAGAGTCCCTGAAAGCCCTTAAGCCTAAAACCCTAAACCTAAACCCTAAACCCTAAACCCTAAACCCTAAACCCTAAGCCCTAAGCCCTAAACCCTAAACCCTAAACCCTAAACCCTAAGCCCTAAACCCTAAGCCCTCAGACCCTGAAACCCTCAACCCGAGGCAATCATATTGTCATTGGGCTCCCCTGCACGCCCAGGACCAGAAAAAACCCAAGAGTTCACGCTGGTTTGGGGTTTAGTGTGCAAAATGTTTTTTGTTATGGGCAATGGTGGTCGCTGTGAGCACATTTGTGCGTCTGCACGCGCTCTGCATCGTGCAACCTCATGGGGCCCCCCCAGCTAGCCAATCGAAAAAACGTGAAAACCCCTCACCCCCGAACCCGCTAGCCCCCTAACCCCCAAAACCCTAAGCCCTAAACCGGGTTTAGGCGTTAAACCCTAAAACCCTAAACCCCAAACCCCAAACCCCAAACCCCAAACCCCAAACCCCAAACCCTAAACCCTAAACCCTGAACCCTATATAAACCCTAAACCCTAAACCCTAAGCCTCAAAGGTTGCTGTAAAGAGTAAGATGCCCAGGCGGGAGAGACAACAGAGGAAGTAACGTCGGGAGGCTCAGGCTGAGTCCTGTGCCCGAGGGTGTCGGGGTTTCGAGGTTTCGGGGTTTCGGGGTTTAGGGTTTAGGGTTTCGGGTTTAGGGTTTAGGGTGTTTAGGGCTGTAGGGTTAGGGGGTTTCGGGGTTTAGGGTTTAGGGGTTCCCTAAACCCTAAACGCTAAACCCTAAACCCAAAACCCTAAACCCTAAACCCTAAACCCGAAGCCCTAAGCCCTAAGCCCTAAAACCGCAAACAAATCCCCCCTAAACCCTTTAGGGTTTAGGGGGGGGGAAAGGGTTGAAGATTTGGTGCATGGGCCTTGGAGTCTTCGGCTTGTCCTACAAAGGGCAACCTTTATTTATTCCTACGTTGCTCTGGGGTCTAGGGTTTCTAGGGGGTTTAGGGGTTTAGGGGTTTAGGGGTTTAGCGGTTTAGGGTTTAGGGTTTAGGGGGGTTCCAGAGATCATGGTTTAGGGTTCCGGGTTTGGGGTCCCTTTATCGATATCCTGGTGGGTATCCTTCACACTCGGATTCCTTGTGGACTTTGGGTCTTGGGTTTGTTGAGAGATGTGGGCACTTCGAGGATTTCTAGGGGTGTCTGGGGTTTGTTGGGTTCAGGGTCTGCGGGTACCTGAATAGCTTAGGGTCTTGGGGTTTAGGGATCTAGGGGGGTGCGGTCTCACGGTTCCCGGATCAGCTCTGGTGTGCCAGCTTGAACCCTAGACCTTCAACCGGAACCCTAACTTCAAACCCTAGAATCTAAACCCTCAGCCCCAAACCCTAAACCCTCAAACCTCAACCCCAAACCCTAAACCCTAAACCCTAAACCCTAAATCCTAAATCCTAAACCCTAAACCCTAAACCCTAAATCCTAAACCCTAAACCCTAAACCCCAGCCAAGGCCAACGCACCACGAGCACCATCCGCCCCCTCGGCATCTTGCAGCCCGGCTGGGCAGGGCTTAGCGTTTGGGGTTTAGGATTTAGGGTTTAGGGTTTGGGGTTTAGGGTTTCGGGATTCGGGTTTAGGGTTTGGGTTTTGGGTTTTAGGGTCTGGGTTTGTCAATCCTCAACTTCGAACCCCTAAGGTAAGTACATAGGAGTCTGCGGAACCCTGAATGGGGTGTTGCAATTCGCACCCACGATCATGCAAATTCATGCCGGGTTCTAAAACCCTAAACCCTAAACCCCGAACCCTAAACCCTGAACCCTAAACCCTAAACCCTTAAACCCAAACCCTAAACCCTAAACCCTAAACCCTAAACCCTAAACCCTAAGCCCTAAGCCGTAAACCCTAAACCCTGAACCCTGGTACAGGTTTGGGACTCCTAAATCCTCAGAACCTAATCCGTCAAACCCTCAATCCTTAAACCTTGCCTTACATGGGTTGGTGGTCACTTCAAGTAGGGTTTCTTTTTTTTGGAGCATATATTCGGGGTTCTTATTAGGGTATCTAGGGGCTATATTAAGGGGTAAGGGCAACAGATAAAGAAGCCACCGGCCTTCATAAACCTTGCCCTCTTACTTTATATGCATGTTACGGTAGCTTGTTTAGGGTTTAGGGGTATGAACTTAAGCACTGAGCCCTAAACCCTAATTAGTCCCAGTTGCTTAAAACAGGGTTGCCTCAAGGGATTAAACAAGACTCGCACCGCTAAGGTTGTACCCCTTAGGAGGCTGCCCTTAATATACCTCTAGTATGGCCCTTTCACTGCCCTAAGGATCTTTAAACAGGGACCCCAACACCCGAGGGCACAACCCCCAAACCCGAAAACCTGAACCCTAAACCCTAAACCCTAAACCCTAAACCCTAAACCTTACACCCTACACCCTAAACCCTAAACCCTAAACCCTGAACCCTGAACCCTAAACCCTAAACCCGAAAACCCGAAAACCAGACGAGGAGCGCCACCACTCGGAGGAGCGGCCAGGGCTAGCGGCCAGTGCACTGCCCTCTGCACTGATGGGCCGGGGCCCTGGGTTTAGGGTTTAGGGTTTAGGGTTTAGGGTTTGGGGGGGGGGGGGGGGGAGGCTTGGTGGGTTAAGCTGCGCTGAAATTGTCGGGATGTCGCGCTTAGGCTTTAAGGCACCAACCCTAGATTCTGAACCTTTGGGGTATGGGGTTTAGGGTTTAGGGTTTAGGGTTTAGGGTTTATGGGTTAAGGATTAGGGTGCAGGACTTGGGGTTTAGGGTTTGATGTTTAGGCCTGTGAAAGAGTCTGATGGGATCCAGGTGGACCAGCAGTAGGAGGTTTCTGAGTTGTAGAGATTGTTAAAGCCTAAGGAGTTTGGGGTTAAGGGTCTACGCCTAAACCCTAAACCCTAAACCCTAAACCCTAAACCCTAAACCCTAAACCCTAAACCCTAAACCCTAAACCCTAAACCCTAAACCCTAAACCCTAAACCCTAAACCCTAAACCCTAAACCCTAAACCCTAAACCCTAAACCCCCTAAACCCTAAACCCTAAACCCTAAACCCGAAACCCGAAACCCTAAACCTAAACCCTAAACCCTAAACCCTAAACCCTAAACCCTAAACCCTAAACCCTAAACCCTAAACCCTAAACCCTAAACCCTAAACCCTAAACCCTA